ATGAAATATTTTTCATATTGCTAAGGGGCATATGACCTAATCTGTAGTGCCACAACTTTCCTTTACAATTGAATAAAAAAAACTAAAACATAAATGTAAACTATGATTGGAAACAGAATTCCTTCTTGAAATGAAAACTCTTCTAAATTTAGGTGAACTCTTAGACACTGTTGCTCTATGTCTGGATCTGAGAATGTAGAGGCCTCCTTCCTCTTTACCAATCTCCAGTGAGCTCTTCATTGAAGGGCCCTGCAGAAGGAAACAAGAAAAGAGAGTGAATAAAATATATTGCTTGAGTTGTCTGCACAACTTTTGCACAGACAACAAATTATATTTAAAATATGGAATATAAAGAACACTTTGCAGAAACAAATTAGGCAAAAGGGGCACAGTTCCTGAATGAGTGACTTTAACTCTCTAAGAGTTAGGGAGTTTAACCATGAGAGGTTTTGGCAAGGTTTTCAAATTTGTGAAAAATTCTTTGTTGAAAGACATATGTTATGTTGCTCCACTATCCACTATCCAAGACTCATCACTGATTTGATTTAAACAGGTAATATCTTCAAAGACATTGGTCATACCAGCACAACTCACATTTGCTGCAGCATCAGAGGTTCTTCCACTGTTTTGTCCCATTTTCATTTGCTAAAGAAGCTACAGCAGCTCAGCCACATTTTCCTTGTTGAGATTTTGAACTCCTGTAGTATTTTCTGCTCCATGTTCACTATCTCATTTGAGAGGAAAGCATTGTTTGCCTGGGTACCTACCTGAAACCTTTTCTGCCTTGTGAACTTGAAGTCAGCTGGAAACCCATGAATCCTATAACACTTGTCTATGCTATGTCTAGGCTTCTTGCAATAGGAATAAATTCCTGCATTTTTCTTAGATTCACTACAAGAAATATGTGATACGACGACATTATATAAATGTCACTATAAGCCACATAAATGTCATAAAATTATTTACCGACATTTATTTTATATTTACATTAAATTTCAAAAAATTTAATGTCATTAATTTTGAGACATTTAAATAAATATCGTTAAATAACTAACAACATTTATTTATGGCGCCTATCAAATGTCAATAATTTGAGCTCTTGACTTATCTTGTTTGCGACATATATAGAATTGTCATAAATTTTTGAGATATTATTTGAATATTGAAATCATTATTGATATATATGGTAAAGATTTGAAATTGATAAATTATTATAAATGCCAAAAATTAGTCCTTTTTTGTTTTGCTATGTATTATATAAAGCAATCTATCAACTGTGATTGACTTTACAATAACATAAATATTTTTATTCATTGCAAAACTTTCAAGATTCATACACTACATACAATTCAAATAATCATAACATTGATCCCAAAAAAATCATAATGATATTGTTCCCTTGAGATTTACAAAAACGCCAATGCACTTCAAAGCTTCGTTATCCATGTGTCTTTCTGAGTCCATACCTTTACCAAGTTAAAATTCCTTCATATTAGTTGATCTCACAACCTTCAAAAATACGTGTAACCAAGATCTGAAATTGAAAAGAAACAAAAAGGCTATCACCAACTGATTAAGGGAAAGGGCAAGTAGCAAAACAACATTAAGGCCATTTTACCTCATATGTAGTAAATGTAACCATGTTTGCAAGAAAATCATCTACACAAAATAAATTAAAATAAACAATAAATACAGAAAATCAATGCTTTTGATATGAATATCACAAATCTCATTTATCTCGAAAAAGAAAAGGTCAAACTTATAGAAAAAGAGTTAGAGTTGATGAACCTGATCAGAAATTGCCACTCTGACAATAGGTATGGCGAAAATTTCAGTTCCGGCTAGCGGCCTAGGTTTTGCAACGAAACAAAGATTAAAAAAGAAAATCTCCAGCCTATAGATTGCAAATCTAGGGCTATGAACATAACAACGAAAAGCTGCCAGAAACAAGACATAGAAGATTGAGATATATAAATCTAAAATTAAAAAAAATCTTACACACCTATTGGGATCAAAATTAACGAAAGAAGTCGAGATAAACTGATAATAGAGATTTTGGAGGTTGCGACCTACGACTTGAAGAGTTCTTAAGGAAATAGAGTTTGAATATTTTTAACTTTCTTTTGAAATTTTATAAAAGGAAAAGAAAGCCCAAGTAAGACTAATCGTCTCCCGATATTATTTTTTATTCTTGGAAAAATAATATTTTTTGACATTTATTACAAATGTTGCTAACTAAATGTAGTTGTATTTCTAATAATGTGACATTTGAATAAATGTCAAAATGTTTGCTGACATTTTTCCTAAACGTCGGTATTTTTGTGATATTTTTCTAACAAATGTCAATAAATTAATTATTCACCGACATTTATTATAAGTGTCATCAAATAAATGTCGTCGTATCTCATATTTCCTGTAGTGATTAAGACTTATTTTCTGCATCCTGATTTCATTAAATTTCCTGAAGTTTCCTGATTGATTTATAGCAATGAATGAGGCAGATTCCCCTGGGTATGCAGGGATAACATGTATCTCCTTCTGTTTCTCATCTTGAATCACAAGGGAGTATGTATATCCAATGGAAGGTAAAGGTGATGACAATAAAATATTGCTCCTTACCCCAATAAATATGTCATTCAGTCCCATTAGGAACTGCAGTAGTCTCTCATCTTGATGTGCCTCCAAGCTCTTGACTTTTGCCCCACGCTCACACTCACAAACACAAACACAAACAGAAAAAGTGTTGAGTGCATCTAGTTTATCCCATAGGCTTTTCATTTTGGTGAAGTAAATTGATACACTTGAATTTCTCTGTACTACTGAACTTAATTCCTTTTGTAATTGGAACAACTTTGCTCCATTTGCCTGACCAAATCTGTCTTCCAGGTCATTCCATAGATCCTTTGCACTCTATGAATAGAGAACACTCTCAGCTATCTCTTTGGACAAGGAGTTGAGTAGCCATGAAAGTACCATATCATTACATCTTGCTCAGGCTTGCTGGATTGTAGAATTAGTTTTAGGGAAGATAAGAGAACCATCGATAAATTCCAGCTTATTCTTTGTAGACAAGGCAATGATAACTGCCCTTATCCAACCTCCATATCCTTGTCCATCAAAGCCCGAGGATACAAGGTTCATCCCTGGATAGTCAGAAGGATGAAGGCAGCAAGGGTGAGTGGAGTCAATCACTCTTGAAGCAATGGTAACTGCATGTGCAAGAGCATTGGTGGTGGTAGTAGCAGAAGCTAGAGTATCAACCGACTATGGTGAAGAATCCATAACAGACAAGCTTAAGAGAAGAAGAAAAAGTGAAAGCTGGTTTGTGACTGAGAAAGCAGAAATGATAGCAGATTCAAACCTGCTCTGATACCATGTAAAGAATGAGAAGAATAATTTGAAGATTTTCTCCCTTGTATTTTCAGTATGTGTATTTGCAGTACATGCTTTGGATTATATACAAATATGAATGAATCTAGGGCTACATTCTACATTGTCAAGTGGCAATGTCCTATTAGGTAGTACAAAATTGTATCTAAAACAAATACATGGATGTAGTAAATAATTAAATTACATGTATAAAGTTGTACATATGGAGCAAATAATTAAAATACACATTCACATGTGCTATGCACTATGTGAATAACATATCTGGAAAAAGGCCCAGAAGTGGGCTGTGGGCAATTAGGCCCAAATGCAAAAATGCATTGAGGACCCAAAGTTAGGCCCAAATACCGACTGACCTCATATTTGTTAAGTATACAGATCTGTACATCTACATTGGCTCCAACAACCATGAGATAAAAAAGTGGTACACAATCATAAATTCATTTTAACCAAAAAAGGCGCGGCATCAAAAAGAAGATCCAGTGATTAGCTGAACGTCTGATAACAACTGAAAGTGATTTTCATGTTATGCACAACATATAATAACAAAAAAATTCTTTAAATTAATATCGTCTCTAATAAATTGTAAGTATAATATTTAATTACTACTTAATTTGAATTATATATTTATTAATTTTTAAATAAAGATTAGTTGCTAAGTATTAAAAATGTTGAGAAAAACAGTCTTTGTTGTCTAATATTAACCTTTAGAATAATAATTATTGTAATAAATATTCACAATATAATAAATTTTGTAATAAAATTTAGAATAATTATATAAATATTCATATTCATATTCAAATATTTTAATATATAAAACAAACTACCCGTAAGTCCAAAAAAGAACATTATTTTCTCTTTAACTTGGAAAAGCAGACTAGCGAAATATAAACTTGGCCAGTCGGTCAAAATAAATTGTATTCGCTAGCCAAAAATCACAATATAATAGATTTTGTAATAAAATTTAGAATAATTATATAAATATTCATATTCAAATAATTTAATATATAAAACAAACTACCCGTAAGTTCAAAAAAGAATATCATTTTCTCTTTAACTTGAAAAAACAGACTAGCGAAATATAAACTTGGTCGGTCGGTCAAAATGAATTGCATATATATATATATATAAAACTATTTTATCGATTAATATTAATTTTTTAAACGGCAAAAATTATACATTTCTCGTAATATACACCGCCTTCCTCCATTTTCCCCCTTTTCAAACCTTTTTCCTCCATTTAACTTCGTGGAAAGGGCAATTCAAATGGGATTATTTGGAGCGCTAAGGCAGTCGGCAGACGCTACTCTTCAATTTCATTGTGCCACGTAGGCAGAAACTAAAGCTACTATTGGTTAAACAACGTCACTTACATGTCAAGTGATCCAATTTAATGTACCTTTTACTAATTGCAAGTGTTTCCTAACAACTTCTACTCGCTCTCCGCGACTCCAAGATCAATTCTTCCAAACCAAGAGAAACGTGGCAACTTTCTGTCGCGCGTGGAAGTCAAACACACATAAAGCGACTGCTGGTTTCCTCTACGCCGACGACGACGTAGTTGTAAAATCTGTGTGCTTACGTGTTGACCATCCTCAATTAAGTTTCAGAAAATTACAACAAAAAAACTTGAAAAACACGATATAACCCATAAATTAATCGGTCTTCAAATATAACGGCTTTGATTTTGTCCATTTTCAGTGACACAGATATTTCTTATACCCAAAGAGAGAAACGTTTGATCTAGGGGTTTTTGTAATTTGTGCAGCAGATTGACAGAATAAGTGTGTGTAAAAATTGGAGTGATGGTGGAAGAAACTGAGGTTAATGAGCTGAAGAAGAAGGGGAATGAGACGAGGAGAAGTCAAAGGAAATTGGGCCGATCAGCAATTTGGGCTGTTTTGGTGTTGATAATAGCATTGGGTGCAGCATTCTTCCATACCCAAAAGGGGAAGCCGTGTCCTTGTTTTCAGGTTCTTTTGCTCAATTCCCAATGTCATTTTTTCAGGGTTTATCTATCTTATTTAGTTTTGTTTAAATAGAGAGGAGTTTAAGTTCTGTGTTGCAGGAAACTCTATTTGATAAGCATTGATTGATAGCTTAGAATAAATTGGGAGTAACAATTACATTGATATTGTAAAAAAATTTAGTTGTCACTGCATATAACTTAAATCCAAATAAAGAAATTAGGACTTGTAGAAACTAAGTTTATGAAGCTCATTGATGAGTACTTGATCAAATTCCTAGTAGCAGGGTGCAAATTTTTGTATTAACTGATCTTGCAAATTGTGGTCCATAAATTAAATGCTTAATTGTGGGATTTGTGGTGTTGAAATAAACATGAGAATGAGCCCTATGTACGTACAAGTCCTTAAAACTGGAAACATCAATTGCCGATGTTGTAAACTCTGGCATTCTGCAACTATAGTGAAATTAATTAGCTTGTTGGTGAAGATGAGCATTTTAACGAAAGAATTGAGCTTGGACAAAGCAAGCTAATCTTCATTTTGTTTTAATATGGTGGGTGGCTAAAGCTTAGTTTTGGTACCAAAATCCTTTGGTTTAACCTTGCAGTTAGCTTGTATCTAAAAGTCTTTACTCATAATTTTGGTTTAAATAATGCCAATCAAGAAGACCTTCAGGTGCTTGTGAGTATATTTCATAAATTTATATCAACAAGAATCTGGATATTCTCTGAGCTGCCTGTGAAATTGGCTTTTAGGAATGTAACTGATATGTTTACCCCTGCTTGCTTACTGGAATTTAAAGGTTCATGCATGCTTCTAGCTATCTGAATTATATAATGCTCACTGACTGCTTGCTTTATCTTGACCTTAATGCAGGATTCTAGAAAATATACTGGAATAGTTGAGGACTGCTGTTGTGATTACGAAACAGTTGACGCTATTAATGGGGCTGTGCTGCATCCTTTACTCCAAGGGCTTGTTACAACTCCCTTTTTTAGATACTTTAAGGTGTGGTGCAAAGTCTAATCAATATGAGGAGAGTGGGTCATTTATTATCACTTCTACGATAAATGTTATCACCATAGTTTGCCTGCTTAATCTTCGAAAGTAGAATTGAGGAATATAGACTTGCTACAAAGAGATCTTTGACAGGAAGTTGATGATTCATATTTTCAATGATATAGGTGGTTTTGACAATTTTCCTTAGTTTCCTGTCTAAGGTTGGTTTGGTTGCCAAGAGAGGAAAAAGATTGCAAAGTTAATTGTTTTGACTTTGCGGCATTTGGTTATCAGGGTAGTTGTGCGCAAAGCAATTTAAAACTTTCTCACTGTGCGAAAATGTAGGAAGCTTGAAGGAAAATGGTTTCTTCTTCTTTTAGTATTTGCCTTTTCTTTCCAGACCTATGTATGCAAGAAAGTGACTTCTGAACTTGACATTTAAAAGAAGCCTAAGGAAAAGGTTCTTCACATTTTATTTTTATAAAATAAGCCCAAAACTAAGGTCAAAAGGTGATTTGCCAACCTAATCTATATCTAATGGCTGCAGGTTAAGCTGTGGTGTGACTGCCCTTTTTGGCCTGATGATGGTATGTGTAAGTTGCGAGATTGCAGTGTATGTGAATGTCCAGAAAATGAATTTCCCGAATCTTTTAGGAGACCACCGCTTGGCCTTCCAGCTGATGATCTGAAATGTCAAGAGGGAAAACCAGAGGCAGCTGTTGACCGCACTCTCGACTCTAAGGTTTTCAGGGGATGGATAGAGGTAGATAACCCTTGGACAAATGATGATGAGACAGATAATGGTAATTGATCTATCTTTGTCCATGCACAGTCGAAGTTTTTTACTCTACATTTTTGGAATCTTTGTGTATCTTTTCAAACCTTTTGTTGGTGACTTATCCCATGAACAACTATGTGAGCATAGGATTAAGCACAACGGAAGTTTGAATTTATCAATCTGCGTTATTTTGAAGTTTTTAAACTCAACATCTGTATTGAACTGGAAGTTTAACACTTATATAATGCCTTGTGTGACTTCATTACTTCTTGAAGGTTTCTATTTCGTTTACTACTAAATTGTTGAACTTCCTCATTGCAGATGAGATGACATATGTCAATCTCTTACTGAACCCGGAGCGTTACACTGGTTACACTGGTCCCTCAGCCAGGCGAATATGGGATGCTGTATATTCAGAGAATTGTCCGAAATGTGAGTCAATGATCCTTTCAATTGGTTGAAACCATTTGTTTTTTCAATCTTCTTATGAGTCGTATTTATGGAATTGCATTCAGAGGGAGACCATTGAAATGTTAAATTACCTCCTTAAGCTAAGCTGTTAAACTGTTGATGTCTGCTGGTACTCATACAAATTACTTCCCCTTATGGTGCAGTATTGTTTTTGCCAACTATTATCATGTATTCCAACCCATTATCAGTGTGAACTGAACACGGAAGTTACCATTTTATGGCCAGATGCATCTGGAGAGATTTGCCAGGAGAAAAAGGTTTTATACAAGCTTATATCTGGTCTCCACTCTTCAATCTCAATACACATAGCTGCTGATTACCTGCTTGATGAAACTAAAAACTTGGTTAGTTTGCATTCGATATGCCTCATTTTTCTATTATTCCTTGCGAAAAATTGATAAATGACACTTGCAAAAGCTTAGAGCAGCAGGCCAAACCTGTTGCATCCATATAATAATTCATTATGACGCTGTGAACTATTATTCTTCGGAGCATTTTAACTGGAAACTTGACTACTTTGCTGCAATTTCAGTGGGGTACAAATCCAGATCTGATGTATGATCGTGTTCTGCAATATCCTGATCGTGTCAGAAACTTGTATTTTACTTTCCTCTTTGTTCTCCGAGCTGTAACAAAAGTGAGTACTCGCTCCACATGCCTATATGTTGGTAACTCCTAGAATGTTAACTTTTCCTAAGTTAATTTATTGGGTTATTTACTGNCAGGCTCCTGAAAAGGAAGAAAATGACTGACCTGATATATTAATGGGTCATTTCTGTTTTGGTTTATGGGGAATTATGCGCACAATTATGTCGCCTCAAACACATTAAAAGTTTTCTCATTTACAAGCTTACTTCTATCAAGAAATGCTAAAAAGCCGTGTATATTAATAGTGTTTCTCTTATCACTTTCTTCCCATGCAATCCCTTGTCTATGGAGATCAGTAGTTCATGACAGCAAATTTTGATCTTTTCCTGAAGAAATTTTTCTTTTGCGTAAACAGTCTCTTATCCAAATACTTGATTTCTTTATTGCTAGTATTGCTTTTCTTTTATCCATACTTCTTGTCTGTGGGAATGGTTGGGAGTATAACATTTTATTGAGGAAGATCAGAAGTTACTTTGTTCCAGAGAGGTCATGTGGGAAGAAGGAAAGCTGCAATAGAACACCCTCCAACTTATTAACTTCAACTTTGAAAATAAGTCATTCCTTTGGTCCGGTGTTTTGCCTTTAAACAGGTTCTTCATTATAAGCTCCTTTCTGATGCAATAAAGTTGATGCCATTCCCCTTGATGACAGGATCTGCTGTTTATTTTGAATGGACATGCTTGATAGAATATTCACATTGCTAGCATTTTATCGAGTTTAATGCATTACATGACAATGATGACATATACATGAAACAAGAAAATGGATGGTTCTTGTCTGTCTTTTCCCTTTATTCTGGCTCCTTGTCCTGCTATTTATGGGTATTAAGGTTCATAACTGAAGTAGAAGTTCCTTCTGGATAAGAAGGGGAAGTGTCAGCTAAAACTTCTCGTATTTGGTATTCTGTTTTCAGGTTGAGGAAGCTTCCATTGTAGCAGGTCATTTTATACAATTTTGGTGTATAATGATGTAAAGAATGAATACAACTAAACAGCTGAAAGGTGAGTCATTGGGATAATTTCTACAGCCGGATAGCATACAAGGATACAGATGAATGGAGGGATCAGTGTCTGAAATTTGCAAAGACTATACATTTTTAGTGGGTAATTGGAAATTAGAAGTGTATCACTTTATCATGTATCTTAGATCCCCTTGAAATGTTGTAACATTATTGTTGAAAGTTTCTCTCTGTTCCGGAATGAAACAAGAGAATTTTGCTTCTAATGTGATACTTATTTCTATCCCAGCCAACATGTTAGAACTGTAGCATTCTAGCATAATTTGAGCGAATAGTAATATTGATGCTTATGGAATTAGTGAGATTGCGAGTGAAACCTAGTTGGTAAATATGAATAAGCAACCAAGCAAGTTAAAAAATTATGATAAGTAAAACAGATAATCATTTTGTGCGCACATAAAGTCATGAAATCATTAGGCATTAGCTCTCTTACTGTTATTTCATATCTTCCTTCTTGAAATGAAAAGCTTTTGCATTGACCATGATTATGCAAAGGAGAGACCATCATTCTTATAAACTAAATCAAGTTCTCAGTATAATGCAACTTCACTCTCTTAACGGACCCAGGAGATTGCTTGAACTCACCTTTATAATTTGAGACACGAGTTAATTTTTTGCAGGTCTTATAGGGCCCTCAACTTTGCCTTTGTTTATACATTTTATTTGATTATATAACTTGCTATATTGCACTAGTATGATCTTTATTTCAACTGTAAAATTTCAGAGCTACTGAGCTCCTTGCAATTTTGAAAACGTGACTGTAGAACAGATGAGATGAAGAAGAAGAAAAAGAAAAGAGAAGTAGAAGAGATGAGTAGATGAGAGACATGGTACCTATGTGGTCTTATGCTTGAGAATTCGAGTGTGAGCAGATGGTGTGAGAGATGAGAGTAGTTTGAGTTTGGTGGAAGAAAGGTTAGAATATACCTGATAAAATACCTGGTGGAAGAGCTAAAGCAATGTGGAAATTTTGATATCGAGCTCGGAATGAATTTCCGAAAGTGGCTATAAGTTCGTAGTGTCATTTGTGACCTGTGTGTAAAATTTGAGGCAATTCGGGCTAGATTTGACGTGATTCGGCGTCGTTAGTAGAATTTGGAAAAATTCTAAGTTCTTAGGCTTGAATCCGTGCTTAATTCATGATTTTTGGTGTTGTTCGATGTGGTTTGAAAGCTCGACTAAGTTCGTATGGTGTTATAGGATTGGTTGGTAGGTTTGGTTGAGGTCCCGGTGGCCTCGGGTGTGTTTCGGATGCTTAACGGAATGAAATTGGACTTAGGAAAAATCTGGTGCTTTTGCTAGTTTCTGCTGTAATCGCACCTGCGCAAGGCTGCCCGCAGGTGCGAGCAAATTGGCGCAGAAGCAGGAAAATGGAGGAGTGCCAGGGGTCGCAGGTGCGAGGTGATTTCCGCATCTGTGATGCCAGCAGATGCGTTAGGGGTCTTCGCAGGTGCGCAAGGTCCACAGAAGCGGAAGGAAATTTTGCAGGCGCGCACGCGCAGATGCGGCCCTTTCATCGCAGGTGCGAAGGCAGAGGGGGCAAGTGAATTGCGCAGATGCGCACAATTTCCGCACAAGCGCACCCGCAGGTGCGGAAATACCTGGGCAGTGGTTAAAACCGAAGGGTTTGTGATTTTAGTCATTTTTTACTTTGCAAACTCGGTTTAGGGCGATATTTGAGAGCATTTTCGAGGCATTTCTTGAGGTAAGTTCCTTGTGCTTATTTTTGATCAATAATCTTGCTTTGCCATATATTTTTCCACCTAGTTAGTGTGTATTTAAGGTGGAAATTGGAGGCTAGGGATTTGGAAGTTTGATTTGTGGATTTGGAGGACCATTTGGTAACGGAATTTAGTAATTTTGGTATAGTTAGACTCGTGGTGGAATGGGCGTTCCTATTTTGTAACTTTTACCTGATTTCGAGACGTGGGCCCCATGGATAATTTTTGAGTTAATTTCGGAATTTTTGTTAAAGTGTTGGTTTCATTAATTAGATGAGTCTATTATTATTATATTTATGATATGTAATTGCTTTTGGTTAGATTTGGGCCATTCGGAANCTGTTATTTTGAGTTATACCATTTTAATAAGTACTAATCTATTTTCATTCTTAATTGAGTTATTACAATATGTATAGCTATCATGTTTAGTCTAATACAACATGTCTACGTGTCTTAATTGTTTATGTAAATTATGTGCAGCATGCTTAATGAATTTCCTACTTCTTACCTGACTGGTACTTAGTCTAAATTGTAAGAATTTTGTGATGTAGTTGTATTTCTATCATTCGCGCTGCATATTTACTTTGGGACTACGGAACGGTATTCTCATGTCTTGCATATTTACTTTGGGACTACGGAACGGTATTCCGGAAGATCCCCCTGCACATTTATTTTGGGACTACGGAATGGTATTCCGGGAGATCCCCCTGCACATTTACGTTTGGGACTACGGGACGGTATCTCGGGAGATCCCCTGTTGTGTTTCTGTGTACTAAGCTATTACCTTCTATGATTTCGTTGTTGTTAAAGTTCAGCCTTTATTTTATTGCGGTATTACACTATATATTATTTTATTACATATTTACCAGTAGGGCCTTGACCTGACTTCGTCACTACTGGACTGAGGTTAGGCTTGGCACTTACTGGGTAGCGATTGTGGTATACTCATGCTACTCTCTGCACATATTTTTCGTGTGCAGATTCAGGTGTACCTTATCAACTGCACTATCAGTGAGCCGGGACAACTTTTGGAGATTTTAAGGTATATGTGTCGCGTCCGCAGACCTCTGAGTCCCCTTCTACTCTTTCTAATGTCCATTTTCTTCTGTATATTTCCTTGTTAGATTCTGATGTATAGAGACACTAGATTTTTCCATCTATAGTTTGTGATTCACGATATTCCGGGTTTTGGGATTTGTTGTGTATTTTTGAATAATTGGTTAAATTTATATTTTTATTTCAATATTCCGCAAAAATGCTAGGCTTACCTAGTTGTAGAGACTAGGTGCCGTCACGACGTCACACGAAGGGGTAATTGGGTCGTGACAGTATCCTATATCAATAAAATATACTATTTTAAAAAAATTACAAAAAAAATAATAAACAATATGTTTAACTTTTAAAATAAAAATTAACAAAAAAATGCATAAGTTATTGAAAATGATGACTACTAAATATTTTATTTAGCTGGTTCAATAAAGAAAGAATTTCTTTCGTAAAAGTTCTTAGATGCCTTATTGTAGTTTCTGCGAACTTTTATAGAAATGTCTTATAGAAGAATATTGTTATTTTTATGACCTAATACAAAAATAAACAAAAAAATATATAAATACTACTATCAACAAAGATTTGTCAAATAAGATAAATTAAAAATAAATAAATTTCTCTGCCATTTTGGGAATGAAGAGGTTGGTGTTATGCTCACATAGATAATTGATAAGGGAAAACGTAAAGTCTAAATGGCTTACAGTTTTTACTGCAAATAATTTAATATAGAACATAAGGGGAGTTGTCATTTGTAAAATAATAATAATAATAATAATAATAATAATAATAATAATAATAATAATAATAAATGACAATTCGTTCAGAATATAGTTTATATTCTATTGTTTCCTCCTTATTGCTTCAAGTTTGTATTTTTACGAATTTGACTCTTAATACTATTATAACCAATTTTGCCATATGCTAATGTTATGCTTATCAAAACAAATTTATGATACAATAAGATTTGTTAATTAAATTGAAAATAATTTTACTTATATGATGAATATGAAAAATAATTAAACTGATTCTTGTTAATTAGTTAATTCAAATGCTTAATTATTTGTTCGCAACATTAAAAGAGATAATTATTTTATGTTGATTCGCATTCTTCATATTAGCTCATCTGATTTAAAATAATTAATTATAATTATATTGTTATCTAAATTATATTATCAAAGAGTAAAAAAAATTAATTTTATTATTTCACTTTTTGAATTTTTGTATTTGTAAAATAATTAATGTACTTGACTCTTGTCAACTACTTAAATATTTTGTTAATGA